AAGTGACTATTTTTATGAAATCGATCTTTAGGTAAAGTATTTCCAAAAGTTAAATTTACCTTTGCAGTGGAATGCTCTTGTGTCATAAGCGCATCTTGTCCTCATGCTTCCTCCTCCACCCGAATCCGTGTGATTACAGTTTCTAAGGACGTCTCTTTTTGCTTGTGACGCATTTACTTCTAGAACTCCCTCCAAGATGATGGTAGTTTGTCAATAATACCTGCTACAACAAGATTGTCTCCAATTTTGATGCCTTTGGATCTAACTTCAGCCACTAGCATCTAAAAATTTTGAACGTGCTCCACCACTGATTTTCCATCTATCATCTGATAGCGGAAAAAATGGGTTGCAACATATTTTTTAGCTCCTGCCTCTTTAGTGTCATATTTATTCTACAAGGCTTTCCAAATTTTCTTTGCAGTGGTGTAAGTAGTATCATAATAATCATAAAATTGATCCAAAAGACAATTCAAAAGATAATACCGACATTTATACTCATCTGTGTTGCATTTCTCAATTTTTTCAAAATGAACGTCATACTCCTCATTGGTCATCTCATCAGTGGAGACTTTGTTCGGATTTTTCTCGATCAGGATATAGGCCACCTTGAGGAGACTGAGCTAGAAAAACACCTTGCCTTTCCATCTCTTGATATGGGCTCCCCTGAACCGAAAGGGCTTGTTGAGATCACCGGTATTCTCGTTGGGCTTCTCCAATATTGGCTCCATGAATTTTACTGTTTGAATCTCCTTAAAATTATTGGTGATAATTATAAATAAAACACCAGAAAATACAAATTATAATAATTATTGAAAGGACTGAGGCGCGGGAAATTCGTGCTATTTAAGAAGATTCAAGCCCTCTGCGACTAGGCAAAGCTTCACACCGGTGCATCAGAAAAACCTTGACTTGTCACCCCCAGGATACAACTGCTCGACAAAGTCGTATGATTGACCAATATTGCACAATTGGTTGAACCTAAAGCTTCATCACATACATCCTTTATTTCTTTGCCTAATAATCTCTCAAATAAGAAACTAGTAAACACTTCTATTTTGTTTGTTTTTTAAAACTCTAGATTCCTCTCTCTCTTAGGTTAGTTTTTTTTTTTTTGTGCTCCGAACAAGAGAAGTGAAAGGCTTAATTTATAGGAGAGGAAAACTAGGAGGGCAAGTTTTCTTGGTGGCCAAGTTTTCTAGGAGACTTAGTGAACAAGAATGAAGACTTGACTTGAAGACTTGACTTGGTGGGCAAGCAAACATTGGAAAGAAAGAAAAGAAAACTTGGAGGGAAAGAAAAGAAAATCAAACCTATAACACATTATAATATTAAAATAACTGCTAACATTTAGTGATGATGTTCTCAAATGCATCAAATGCCACATGAAACTTACTATATTTTTGCTGTTAAGTGTAATGTTGGTACATGTTCATTTTGTAATTAAAATTTTATATACTCATATGGAAGATTAGAGGAACTATGTACCAAGTGAAGTAGTACATGAAACATATGTATTAGTTTAGTGAAATGTTTATATTACTTATATGGAGATTGGAAGCCATATTTTTTATGTTTTGCACTTATGGAGTCTATGAATGACAAAAAAATATTTTTGATGTTGTTTGGGTTAGAAAAAAAAATCTGAGATTGTAAAAGAAAAAAAGAGGCAAGAGTTGTGGAAATCTAGTTGGGTCATTTGGTGCCTTGATGTGCTTTTGTATGGTTGAATGAAGGAAATTTTCCTGAGAGATGTCTTGATATGCTTTGCTATTTGATATTTTTAGAAAGGTCAATGTCAATGTCAAGCACAAATGCAAGCATAGGCAGCATTCATGAAGTTAGATTCAACAACTGCAATTGTCGATGTGGCAGTAAAGCTATGGTTAAGATTTCTTAATCAATGGATAACCCAAATTGCTTATATTTTATATGCCTCAATTCACCGAATGGTTGTAAGTTCTTTGAGTGGTGGATCCCTTCACATATGCAGCATAATTTGAAGGTGGTCGAGAATGATCTTCTTGAAGAACGCATGGATGTGTCGTCTACTATTAGAGAAGTAATTATCTTGAATAGGGAGCTGAAAGACATGACTGTGAAGAGTAGGAAACAATATAGAGACTTGGCAATGGTGATTGAAAGAGTTAGTGATAAATTCAATTACGCCTTTGCTTTTATTATTCTGTTGTTGGTGGTAGTTGTCATTCTAGTGTATTTGAGATAGTGTATGTAATGTAGGGTACAATGACTATGACTTGTATTGTAGGTTGAATGTGTATGTAATGTATGGTGAACTACTACCATTTTGTTGAAATGGTAATAAATGTAGTGGCTTTTTTTATTATTAATGATCTATGTTTTATGTACACATTTAATATTCACCTTCATTATTGAAAATATATGGAAAGAGAACTTGCAACATATTAGCAAATTGTGAGATTAATTTTGTCAATTACACTAAGTAGTAATTATTTGGATATAGATAGTACTACTGCTCTTATTTGAAGTTGAGATTTGAGAAGGAGGTATTTACGTCAATTACACATCTTTTACCCATAGACACACCAAGTTGCAAGTCTTGGCCAATTACTAAAGGATGTGGATAGTACTATTGCTTTTATTTGAAGTTGAGATTTGAGAGATTTTTTTTTTTAATGCAAATAATCAAGCAACTAATTTTAATGTCTTCAACAGTGGCATGCATAAATTATTTCATGATTGTGCAAGGGAATCCAAGTGCATTCATCTTAAATCATTAATAAACACATCTTAAATTCTACAAGAATCCAAGTGCATTCATCTCAAAACAAAACAAATTTGACCTACAACATGAACTAAAAACAAAACAAAACAAATGGACCTGCCTAGTGACCTGCCCCAACCAAAACAAAACAAATTCAACAAACAAATTTGACCTGTATAGTGACCAGCCCCAAGTGTTACTACAAATGGACTACAACATGAACTATAAACAAAACATTCAGCCAATTGTGAGGCACAAACAACAACAAAACAGCACAAATAGCAGCATCAGAGGCATCTCCTATGCTTGAAATTTGAAGTGCCCTCCACCTCATCATGGCCATCCAAGCCTTGAAAAAAAAAATTAAAAAAATTGAAAACCAGCAATTCAGCACCAAAACAACATCAAAACAGCACCATTTCATAACAAAAAATAGCAGCAACATAGCACAAATTCAGCTGCACTTTGGAGCACAAAATAATAGTAATTCACCACCAAAACAGCAGTAAAACAGCAGCAATTCAACAGCAACAAACAACAATAATTTCAACACAAAAAATAGCAGCAACACAACACAAATTCAGCAGCACTTTGGAGCACAAAATAATAGTAATTTCCCACCAAAACAGCAGCAATTCAGCAGCAACAAACAACATTAATTTCAGCACAAAAAATGACCAAAGACAGCAGCAACACAACACAAATTCAGCAGCACTTTCGAGCACAAAATAATAGTAATTCACCACCAAAAGAACAACAATTCAGCAGCAACAAGCAACATTAATTTCAGCACAAAATTCAGCAAAAACAATATGAAAACAATAGCAAAAGTACCTCAGTAGACAGCTGCCAATTATTTGTTGGTTGACAATCTATATTTGAGGCTTCAGAATCTTGAAACCCAATGTCATACCCACCTTGAAGTAGTGTCATAAATGTTGGTTGAGCACAATATGCCAAATTGTTTGCCTACAATGAATTCATACACTACTAGAAATAAGACTTTTTGCGTCTATTTATTTGCGACTGATTATTTAACCGTCGCAAAAAATCACTTTCTACACCAAATTGTCATTTTATTTAAACCCCCAAATCGTATTCTTAACTTAAACAAAAAAAAAAAAAGGAAAAACTCGATTTCGGTTCTCTTTCAATTTCCAAATCGATCCCTTATTTCCCAGCAAACGATTGACCTAAGGACCGACCTCCAACGGTATCTATCCCGTATTTTCCAAATCGATTTCCCAAATCGATCCCTTATCTCTTTCAGCCCTATCTATCCCTTATTTCCCAAATCGATTTCACTCTCTTCGTTGAAGACCGACCTCTAACGGTATGAACTCTCTCTCTCTCTCTCTCTCTTTCTCTCCACTCTTCACTTTTCATTCTCTCTCGTTCGACTCTCTCTTTGGACTCTCCATCACAATTTTATTGTTCATTTGAAGATTTTGATCAATTGTTGATGAAGATTTGAAGGTTTTGATCGATTGTTGATGAAGATTTGAAGATTTCGATTGATTCATAATCGGTAAGCCCAATTTCTATGAATGAATCCAACTTTCTCTCTCTATTATATCTATTAGATGTGTTTAATGATTTCAATATTCTGCGATTTGGAGGTTTTGGGAGGTTTTAGTTCTCTCATGTTCATTATTCTGTTGAATTTCTATATTCTATTGATTTCAATATTCTGTTGAATTTAATTCGTTCTTGAAAACAATAGAGGTGTTTGAACCTCTTGGAACAATCTCTATCTACTCTTACTGTTTTTACTGTGATTTCATCTGTGCTGTGTTGATCCAGAATTGTTGATCCAATTGCTTGTACACAGCTATGTTAGGTACTAATATCATGAGTACAAATAAAGCTTTGAGTATGTTGTTGGTTCTATAAGCATTTTATTTATTGTACATTTTACATCATCGCAAAAGTCAAAGATGAAAAATCCTTCTGTAGTTTGTCAATATTTATTTAAGGAGTGCTTTTCTCTACAAAAGTTATTTTTTTTGTAAAATCCCACGAAGCCTTCACTCTCTCAATCTCCTCCTTTCCTCTTCATCTTTCAATCCCAACAAGGTATTTCAATTTCTCTCTCTCTCTCTCTCTCTCTCTCTCTCTCTTACTTCAGTTTTTTTTTCCGAAACCCTAACTTTCTCTCACTAGAGATTCATTTTTTTATTTTTTTTTGTTGTCATAGATTTCTTACTGCTCAAATTCTCAGTGCCCTAGCTGTATGGCCATCAAATCCCAAACGACGATGTCGGAGAAATCGATATCAGAAAATAGAATGCTGGTGAGTGTACCATCCTTTCGGTTGCTGAGAAAGTGCTGGAAAATTGAAGGGAATGAGGGAAATTTCTGATTTCTGTTTGGCATTGGAATTCATGCATTTTCTCAGTAACCAAAGAGAGCATTTAATTCGATTAGGTTCTCATATATAATTGTGTTGGTTTTCAGGTGTTTGTTCCTCCACATCCACTGGTCAAGCACTGGGTTGCTGTTCTTAGAAATGAGCAGACTCCTTGCCCCATCTTTAGTGAGTGACCCTTCAAGTTACTGCATCTCTCTCTCTCTCTCTCTCTCTCTCTCTCTCTCTCTCTCTCTGCTATTTTATTTTGTACTACTGTTTGGTTGATTAGATAAAATGAGCTGCATATTTTAGTAATGAATCAATAACGAAGTCAGGGTCCTTTAACATTTTCAAATCTTGATGTGGCTGCAAATTTAGTTTGCATATCATTGCTGTGAGCGTTGTCCTCGTGATGGGAATCATGATTCTTTACATTTGAATTCTTAGTTCTAGTTTAAAATCACACCAATTTAAAATTCCCGTTTGATAGTTTAGATAAGGTACAATCAAAAGAACCATAATTTATGTAGAGTATGTTGTTGTAACAGATACTAATTTTTTAAATTCGAATTCTTAGTTCTACATAAAACATTAGTGCTTTGATTGAGTGGGGGGGGGGGGAAATGAAGGATTTGAAAGGAAATTAATTTTGACCTTGTTTAGGTTGTTTTTAAGGGAAAATCATTGAATAGTCTGGGAGTACCTTGTGGCATTGTCTATGTGGTGTGCCCGGGAAATGAGAAATTACAACCCACACTAAGTGGACCATCACTTGTCTCCCAACTACCTAACAAGTATGATTCACCATGTCCCACCAATACGATTTCCCACTACGCTATTGGTTTGGAGCACCACATAGACAATGCCGCGTGGTGCTATGAGAGTACCCAATGATTTCCCATTTTTAAGTAGGGGAAGGGAAGAGCATGGAGGGGTTGTGAGGGGAGACAGGGCCCACATTTTGAGCATTTATCTTGCCCCCAAAATTGGGCAGAAACAGAGGGGAAATGAAGTGCTTGTTGGTAATATTTTTTTTAATCCCTACTTCTCAATTATACCTTTAAAAAAGATTTTAATACTTTGTTACAATAATGACCACATGTAGTTGCATCAATAGTCTTGCAACAGAAAATGTCATTGAATTGGAAGTCCGATGAAAAGTGGCACCAATTGAAGATAAGATGATGAACAATTGTTTGAGATGGTTTGGTCACGTGCATCATAGACTAATTAACACAACTGTAAGGATGATTTATTTGATCCTACTTTGGTCACGAGCATCATAGACTAGATAACGTGCATGTAAGGAGAAGTGATTTGATCCACGTGACTAATTAACATGATGTAAGAAATAGAGGAATGCTAAGAAGAACTTGAGTTGATGTGATAAGAAAGGACATGAATATCTTAAATTTAAGTAATGATATGACCAAAAAAGAACCAAATTGGAGTAAATAGATCCATGTAACCGATCTCAAGTAATTGGGACGAAAGCTAGTTGAGTTGAGTTGAGTAGAGGATTTAGACAAACCATTTGAAGAAGTACAACCTTATGTCCTTCTTTAGATTCAGTTTCCAAAATATTTCATGTTCATGTGTTCGTTATGGTTTTTGTTGCTCAAAAATGTTGTATTTGTTTTCCCATTGCTTCAAAATTTTAATTTTTTTTTTCTCTATTGATACATTAATGTAATGTATGATTATAATCATTGCAGAAAATGCCATGGCTGAGTTAGGGAGGCTGTTTATGTATGAAGCATCAAGGGATTGGCTTGTGAGCCAATATTCAATGCCTGTTGTTTATTTTCAAACAATATTCATGCTATGGATACTTTAAAAAATAGTATATTATGTGGGTCTAATACAGAACTTAGAAAATTGGACAATCTAATACAGAACTTAGAAAATTGGACAATCATTGATTTATAGGGGATAATAACATTATGTGAACAACTCTTTCTTTGAAGTCAATTGCAACATGTTTATCAGTTGTAACAAGGCCCATAATAGAATTGTTGGACTGTAGTTGTTAACATTTGGTTGTCTGTATCTTTGCTGAGTCTGCTTCTATTATTTACTATCAAACAGTGTTGCAAGAAATACATGAACAATTAAAACAGTGTTGAGAAGAGAGGAAGATGTAAAGAAAGTAATTTGGCATTTGTATAGGAATAGTATTGCATCCGTGGTTTTGGTGGGCTTTTTAGAACTGGGAATTCCAATCTCTGGAGGCATTCTTTGATCTACTTTATAAATTATAAATAAGGTAAATTACACTGACATCTCTTGAGGTTTGTTTTCATTACATAAGTACCTTTGAAGTTCTAGAAATTACATTTCCTTTTCTAAGTTTGAGTCACATTACGATTCCCCACTCCATCAGTCATTCAATAAGTGAAGTAACAAATTTTGCTGATGTTTTCCAAAAATCAAAAATCAAAGTACTATGTGTAACCCAACACTATTTCACAGCATAATCAAAGCATCCACATAAACATCTAACAAGCAGATTTAGAGCACCAATACAACCAAGAGACTCAAGCCTTACCTCACAGCACCAGCGCCAACTGAGACATCCATGACACACCTCCTCATGTCCACTACCATGCCGCCACCACCTCACCTAGGCTATCTATACATATATATATATATATATATCGTGTAATTACATACACACACTCAAACACAGTGAATCGAAAATCCAAACAATCAACCCATTCCCACCCAAGCCTCATAATTGCTCATATTGAAATTAAAGCAATTATGTTAGTTTAAGAGACTCTTTTTGCCCCTAATATGTCATTTTTATGTGCTTATGAATATTTTTTACTTATGTTGTTATGGTTTTATTGCTGGCAGCCTACTATAACAGGGGAGATTCAGTCACCAATGGGTGTTACCTCTGTAGAATTTATTGATCCAAGGGAACCGGTTGCGGTTAGTATATCAATCTCGTTTTTAAAATTTTATTCTTGTCTCTCCTTTCTATGTAATGGATAATCTGAATTTATTTCTTATCTTCTTGTTGTGTATTTAGTATAGGAAGTTCCCCACAATACATTTGTTGCAAGCTAGTTGGGGTTCCTTTTTTTAAGATTTGATGATAACAATGTTACAAATTTATGAATGTGACCTGCTTTAGAAATTATTTAATCTTGGAAGGGTATAGCTTTTCGGTAGCCATCATCCGATGCACTATTTATTTAGCTTTGCAGATTGTTCCTATCTTGAGAGCTGGTCTTGCTCTAGCAGAACATGCATCATCCACTGATATGGTAAACTGGGATCACTGGTGGAGCCTGAAGTTACTCTCAAGGTAATTGAAACTCTTGTTGCAAATCACTGATCTACTATAGAGAGAGGTCACTATGACATAGTTTTATTTTGATTATTTCAAGCTAAACTAACACATTGAAGTGCATTAAATTTTCAGATCAAGTTTGATATATGTTTTTGCAGATTTTGTTGAGGGAATAGTTGATATGATCGAGCCGTTGATGTTGGGAGCCAAAGATTATGTTGTTTTCTTTTCTTTTGTTTTTTTTTTGAAGATTTGAATTTTTTAGTACAGTGTATTTAAGGATGGTTAATGGATAATGTCTATTATAAATTTAATTAATTTGTTAATTTTGTTATTTTTCATTTACAAAAAATTGTTTGGTGCTTATAATTGATTTTTTTTGTTGTAGCAAACTCATATATGATTTTTTTTTAATAAATAATTATTTGCGACAGTAAAACAATGGTCGCTAAAAGTGTTTTTTATTTTTTAATTTTTTTTGCGACGGCAAAATAGCTGTCGCAAAAAGTAGTTTAGGCGGTCGCAAATAATTTGCGACCGTTACTTTGCCGTCGCAAAAAGTATTTGCCACCCCTACATTTGCGTCCCCCATTTGCGGTCGCATAGGCCGTCGCAAAAAGTCTTTTGCGACTGTATTTTTATTATTTGCGACGGCATGTGACGGTCGCAAAAAGTATTTTTTTTAGTAGTGATATTATATTAGGCTTTATAACAAGATGCAAATGACCATATTATACCCACAAAAAAAAAAAAAAAACATGAAAGAAAAACTAATTGACAAAATCTCACTCACATTATATGTGGGATGTATGAATGGAGGAGGAATTGAAGTACCACCCATGGCAAAGGAATGAGGAGGAGGGGGAGCAGGAGGAGGATGAAGAGGAGTAACATTTTCATGAATGTAGACATCCTCTCTAACAGATAATGGAGAAGGTCTCACTGTTGGAGCAGCAACAGGTTGTGAAGAACTCACAAATGTAGCATGGTATTTCTTTTTAAAGCTTGCTTACAATGCCAGCTCACATGGACCTTTTATCCTCCTTTTGCCCGTACTAGTTGGATGTTTTTTTCTTCAATCCTGTTGGAATTTGCACAAGATGATTGTTGTCTTCAGAACCCAATTCCAAGCTTTGAGGTTGATCATTAATACTTGCTTTTTTTTCGATACAAAAATGGCCACTTATCTTGTTTTCAACATTTGCACCTAATGCAGTGAGTTGTGAACAACAAAAATCATAAGTTTCCTCAGTTTCAGCAGCTCTACATGCTATTGCTCTAAATGCGGTCATCAATGTCTTATACCGTGAGACTTGTTGGAATTTGACATCTACTTGAATCTCATTCCCTAACTTGTCTTTCACAGCTTTTACTCTTGCTTGTTTGGTCCACCTCTTCATAATGTATTGTAAACGAATCTCTTTTAGCTTTAATATTTCTCTCATAACCTTCAAACAGTGACTGCATAAAATCCCTTTCCTTTCAAACTTTGTACAACTACAAGTCAAAGAGCCATCCATCTCCATCTTTACTTTCCGTGCATTTTTCCCAATAGCATCAACAATTGTGTATAGGCTACAACCATCATCGTATGCAATTGCTTGTATGTTTGATTCAACAAAAAGAAAATACTTATCTTGAAACTCTTCAAAAATATTTTTAGTATACACATTTCCCATTTGACTTAATATTATGAATGGTGCTTTCACCCTTGGCAACCTTTGGCATAAAGCATATCTAGCTTCTAACTCCTTGTACCACTTCTCACAAAATACCCTTTCACAATGCATGAAGAATTCATTTAAATTAAAATCAGAATGAATGTAATCCTTCAAAAAAGCATTAAAAGATTCACTAAGTTGTGTTGTACTCATTCTTACAGCCCATGTTGATCTAACATATGGCCAGTCCTATTTTTCCTTCACCCCAAAAGTTAACTTCAACCAATGATTATCATGAGCATCATATGTATCAAGCATTTCCCCCCACTTCATTTTCCATTCATTTTCATCCTCAATATCAAACATGAATCTGTTCAATACACCTTTCACCCTCTTATCTTGAAAGAGACAATTAACATGCCTTAATGCATTTTGCATCAAATACCAAGTGCACAAACGGTAACTCATGTCAAGCATGACAATGGGTATGGCTTTAGCCATTGTAACATCTTGATAGGTAAACAAAGTTTTTGGTGCATTTTTTTGACATAACCTCTAAAAACGTTTGAAATAACCATACAAATGTTTCGACAGTCTTATCATACAACAAAGCAGTACCAAACAACTGTTTTTCTATGATGATTAAATCCCACAAAAGATGCAAATGGCCTATGCTCTTTATTTAACTTGTAGGTAGTATCAAATGTAGCTACATCGCCAAATTGGGCATAATCCAAAACATATTCGTTATTTGCTCTTGATTGTCTAAGTGGAAAACATAAAATAGAAAGAAAAAAAAAAAGATGGATTCTCCAAAGATTTTTGTTGAAAGTATTACAACACATTACCTACTTCCCCATACGCTAAACTTTTTTGCCTTTTGGTTCTCAAGTAATTTTTTTGATCTAATTTCGTAAACCCAAGAGACTGCCTCCCATCAGCTTCCCTACCCATGAGTTCAAAAGACTACCCTAAACGAAGACCAGACATTGAGGCTAAGTCTAATTGAATTGCTTGGGTACCTGATATCTTTCTTTGAGATGGCAACATATGGGCACAATCAGGAGATACAAGTTCATGGTTGTGTTTTTCTTTGAAATCAATCACAACTAATTTCCCAGTACTGACATCCAATTTAGCAAAAAGCCGAGCCTCACAACCAGTCCTAGTTTCAGCTCTAGGGATTTTTGTCAATGGGTCTCGCTTGTCAACCTTCTGAAATCCCTCCTTGTTGCAAACAAAATTTCTAGAAATAATTTGTTTTGTAAACTTGTTCTTACAATATTCCTTTCTTATGCTAAACCTTATTCTTCCTCCATATGAATTATAAAAATCATATGCACCTTCTTCCGAATCAAAGGCCATTCCTTCTTTTGGCTTCCAACCACAATCATTGTCAAGTTCCATATCCATATGAAAATGCAACTGAAAAGTAAAGGCAATGAAATGGGAGAATTATCAATACAGAATAATAAAGTAAAATTAGTTGGGTTTTACAAGTTTTGTTAGCTCAATCACTGTATGCTCAGTAATTCAAGACTGCCTTTTTTTGGAGGGAATTTTTTGACCTGAATATGAACTCAATTTGCATACATTAGCATAATTTTCTTCTACCACATTTTTAATTGCTGTCTAAGAACCATCATAATTGCTTTAAAGGTCTGATTTGAAGTATTTTATTTATTTATTTGGAACCAATTAATAAAAATCAACAAATAACAACTATGCTATTTTCAGAACGTTATCTTGCAGAACCACATTATAGATTACACTATATATATATATATATATATATATATATATATAGTATGTATATTATGAAATTCTACGCCAAACCATCAAACTTAGGCCTAAAAATTGAAAAAATCAAGTCCGATGTTTTCAGTCTCTTCTCTGCCATTTCATTCTCCCTCTGTGTTTATTATTTATTTATTTATTTGGGCCTATTAAACAATGAAAATGGCAAACCATGAAACGTAATTGCTTTGAATAGGAAACACACATCTAAACAATGAAAATGGCAAACCATGAAACGTAATTGCTTTGAATAGGAAACACACATCAACTACAAGTTTAAAAAATGGCAGCTTTGAACATGGCAGATTATTTGGAAAAAATTAATGAAAAAAAATATTACCTTCAGTTTGACGAAGTGCAACTCTGGTTCGTGGGGTTGCCGAAGCTTGGTTCGCGGCTGAACTCGCGGCTTAAATGTTCGGAGTAAGACAGAGGGAGAGATCGGCGGCTGAAATCGCGATTGAAACCTTTGGAGTAAGACAATAGGAGAAAGGAATAGACCGTCGATGTTCACCGCCAACTTCGATTCGCCGCCGATCGTCGTCGATGTTCGCCACTGATTGTCATCGATGTTCGCCGCCGACTTCGCCAATCATCGTTCAAAAAGTGAAATGAATGGGAGGGAAGCTGTTGCTGTGTTGAATGAAATAAATTCAAATTATTATTATTATTATTTTTTTTTTTTAACATCTGATTCGTAGATCTTCTCTTAAGGGACGTGGCCAAATCTTGGCCCTTAACCGGAGGAAGGGCTGGAGGATTTGGCTGGAGAGGATCTGAACTCATAAAAACCTTACCTCTTGTTGTTAGGGACAAGGTAGCTACTGCAACTTATCAATGTGGCTTGAATTGAAGGCTAATGCGCAGAAAGTCTAAAGGAACTCATCATCAATCAATTAAATAGGGAGCAGTGATACGTATAGGCTGTGCAAACCCTAGTATGATTGTTATTATTATTTCCATATGAGGAGAAAAAAGCTACTCAGTGCACACGCATAAAAATAAAAATAAAAATAAAATTAAAAAAAAAAGTGATCAAATTAAAATCATTACCTCGTGAACATGACCAATTTACTTCAAACCTCACCTTTGATATTAGCAAGCAAGCATCAAATTAGAGGTCTGAAGTGGGGGCAATTTGTAGACACTTCAATTTTTATGTGTCTTGATCACCGTCTAATTAATCAAAACAAATAAATTTTCTTGACTGGTCAAAATTAAGATGGTCAAAATTTTTAAATGAATGTGGGTCCTACTAAAATTGTGGATCTTAATCCATTTAAGTTATGGGTCATGCCAAAAGAAAAGTGAACCTATTTTGATAATTGGGGCAACCCAAAAAGTATGGGGCCCACAAAAATATTTTGTCAAAATTTGGCAACAGGTTTGAGTCCTTTATTGTTGAAAGAATAAAAGAATAAGGAGCTAAGCTTGGATCAGAAGGAAGCATGCTATTCGAATACAATATTGAGATTTCTCGGCCGGTACCCTTTATATTGACCTCCGGCCTCGGAGAAAGAGCCATTAACGGACCGAATTAAATTTGAATTCAAATCATGTCCATAAATTAAGAAATAAATTGTTATTTCCTTGTAAATTCAAATCAATTTTGCAGTTTTCAAAATTGATCCTTCTCTCCTAAGCTTATAAATAAAGGCTGTCACCATGAGGAGGGGGAGACAGATTCTTTGGCTAATGGTCTCGCAAGCTCCTAAGCAATCTCGAGACTCGGCCAAATTCTCTTCTTAAAATTCTCTCTAAAGTTCC